CTTCTGCGCTTACAGTCCTTAAGCTACTTCTTGAATGCCTACACTTCTCGTCGAGAGTGAAAAAAAGGATTTTTTGATTTTTGACATTTTGACAATATGTATTAATTTAGAAAGTTCTTTCTAGATGATCTTTATTCTTCGCTTTCTGAACAGCTAAAACCAAACAAAATTTTTGAGTCATAAGTTCATCAGTAATAAGTGCTAAAATAGGCCTGTGAATGAACCTCATAATGTGCACTAATAATGCAGCTAGGGCCTGAATTGCTCCACTATGTGTTGCATTGATTTCTCAAGATTTCCTCTCCCTAGCTTCACTTGCCCACAAAACACACCACTAGCCTGAATTTGAATCTTGTCCCCAATTAAGAGACGCAGATAATCTGAAAGTTGACTGATTCGTCTTGCAGCTCTAGAAAACTCGTGAACTTTGTTTTAGCAAACTCAATCCCTAAATTTCGCAGTTCATGCTGCGTACTTTCATACACTGAGACGATTTCGACACATTAAGTCTTTGAATAGCAATCATATGAAAAAGGAAACAAAAATATGCAAAGATAAAATCAAACCGGACACTCGCCATCTCGAATATCTAATCTAATGGAGCACTGGAAGTTCACGACCACTTTATCAGCAAATTTGAACGCGTGTGCTTCCTTCTGCGCCTCCAACTCACCGGGCCCGTATTCCAGGTTATCCAGGAGATACCGATCGATTGCACAACTACAAAGCAGCATTTCATCTCCCAGTGATTTCTTGGCTAGGAGACTTTTAAATTCATGGCCGCATTATGCTCTGAAGTTAAAAAGTAGCGCCTTTTCACGAACGAACAGAATACTAAAATTCCAAAAGTACGGGTACTGGATTTCAAACTCGTTAAAATAATGAAAGAAAAAGAATATCTCCAGTTAGAACAAATAAATTCTGCTGCTGCCTTCTCATTGTAATTAATATACAAAGACTTGACACGAGGTTACAGCGCAGGACAATACAAAAGTGGAAAGTTGATTTCAGATCATTAGCTGCACACTGTGATGTGAAATAGATTTTCGGTCTCGGACAGTGTCTCGAACTTTTCCGATTTTACAGTCGAGACCAAAAGTTATTGGAGAACAATAGGATAGAAAGTTGTTTTGAGAGTGATGGCAACATACATTCGAAAGTTATATGCTTGAAATTCTTAACTAGCGCTCTCGATCCTCTGCTAAAATAATGCAGTTGGGCCGACATATGACCAAGTATGTAATAATCTGCCAATTTTTTTCCGATTTATGCGGAAAAATCAAGAAAAGTGGAAAGAAAACTGACCCTTCTTCGTTGAGAATGACAAATTGCGTTCCGGATCCATCTTCAACGAAGCATGAATGCACTGTCATACACCATAAACCTACAATATCGCTCGATTATTCGAGAAAATGGACTGAAGAGAAAAAGGACGGTTACGGGTCATTGACAGAATTGATTAAGTGATCGAATATCGTTGTTTGATTTTGAAAAAATATCTTTGGGTATTACATTCCTTTGGGTATCACACTCCTCGTTTGAGCTGCGTCCTTCTGCACAGGTACACAGCTACTAATTTAAATTGAAACTGTGAATTCAAAAGTAAAAATAACAGCAGATGGCAACGAATCAGAAAGAGTCACGCATTTTTTTGAGGGGTACGCATTAAATGACTGAGTTGTGCTTTCTCCAGC